TCCCGTCCATCCTCCTGTCATGCAGGAAAGGGGGTCTTGGAGATGTCTCCTCCACAGGGTTGCCATGAGTCAGGGCCTACTTGAGGTAGTTAACAATAACAACAACAACATAGTGGTAGCTTGAAAACAATTTTTCTATTTTGCAAAAGTAAGTAGGTAACATTTTTTTTGGGGGGGGGGGACATTTTCACTAACAAAAGGTACATCATGAGCCAGCACATAAATTATGTAATATTCTTACTCTACTAACTAAGCTACAACCAAAAACTAAAAAGTTACAGTTACAATTCAGAAGTACTTTTGCTATTACTTGTTAAGTTACAGTTGTAATATAATGTAGTTATATCTTCATTATTGGGAGAAAGAATTAATTTACTGCTAATTTATAACTAGTTATTTCCAAATTCTGATGTGATGAAAGACCAAAATACTGGTTATAATCTTTACTGAAATCCAAAGAAATTCATTTAAGGATTGTGTTTTTAAAGGGAAGTTTATGGTTCTTCGTGTATAAAGAAGACATCTTACTTTGCTTTCTCTGGAGAGCTAGGACACAGCTAGGTACTAGTTACTAGTTAGGAAGGTACATATGAGGATTTAAGAAGGTACATCTAGAATATTTAAGTTTATATCCTAGAACAGTGCAATGGCCTTATCCTGCTTAATAAATTATAAATTCAGGCAGTAACAACAAAGCACAGTACATAGTTCTGGGTACATTATGAACATTGTGAACTATGTTCCCTTCCTCATTTTGCCTGAATTTGGCTTTGGAATTGAACAAAAATGTGCAGTGTGCCTCAATTGAATCTGGAGTCCATAGATATCTCTTAAATCAAGTTCTATTCGCCCACATCCCAGTCATTATACTGTGACTTTCCTGCTACATGCTGTAACAAGTGTCTGAAGATCAAGTCAGTGTAAGGCTATATAGACACAAAATCATAGAGTTGGTAGAGACTACAAGAGTCATCCAGTCCAACCCACTGCCATGCAGGAATATACAATCAAACCATTCTGACAGATGATCATTCAGTCTCTGAAAACCTTCAAAGAAGGAGAATCCACCACTGTCCCAGGCAGTATGTTCCACTGTTGAACAGCTCTTGCCATTAGGAAGTTGCATCAGCACAAAGGACTCACACACATTGTTATGGGTAAACACTTTAGGCCACA